CCTCGGCCTCCCAGAGTACTAGGATCACAGGCGTGGGCCACCACATCCAGCCTGATTTCTTTCTATTTATAGTAGAGACGGGGTCTCGCTCTTGCTGGGGCTGGTTTCAAACTCCTGACCTTGAGCGATCCTCCTGCCTCGGCCTCCCAGAGAGCTAGGATGACAGGCGTGAGCCACCGAGCTTGGCCTTGCCCTTTGTTTGTTTACACCACTGTTTTCCCGCCTTGGCTGTGTTATCAACACCTGGCTCCCATCCCCAGAGATCCGATTTAGCTGGGGGGACCCAGGCCACACAGAACATAAAATTAACCACCATAACCATGTGTATGTATGTTAAAGCGTATGTTAGTAACGTGTTAAAGTGTGTATCAATAATTCAGTAGCATTAAGTACATTCACGATGTTTCACGCCACCACCACAACGACACGGTCCCAGAACTTTCACATCAGCCCGGACGGAAACCCTGTACCCAAGAAAGCAGTCACACCCCCTCCCCCCACTCCGAGCACCCCCGGAAATCACCCATCTGCTCTCTGTGTCTACGGGTTTGCCTATTCTTGTTCAAAGCCATCAAAAGGTGGAAACCACACAAACGTCCCTCAGTGGGTGAGCGGATCGGCAAAATGTGGCCCATCCAGACAACGGGATAGTATTCAGACTTAAAAAGGAACAATGAGGCCGGGCGCGGTGGCTCACGCCTGTCATCCTAGCGCTCTGGGAGGCCCAGGCGGGGAGGATCGCTCAAGGTCAGGAGTTCGAAACCAGCCCGAGCAAGACCGAGACCCCTGTCTCTACTAAAAAAACAGAAAGAAATTAATTGGCCAACTAAAAATACATAGAAAAAGTTAGCCGGGCATGGTGGCGCATGCCTGTAGTCCCAGCTACTTGGGAGGCTGAGGCAGGAGGATCGCTTGAGCCCAGGAGTTTGAGGCTGCCGTGAGGCATGACGACAGTCTGTCGGAGAAGGGTCGTGCGCTCCAATTGCCCGTGCTCACCCGCCGGGCACATCTACGGATTCTCCTTTGCAGCCGCCTCTTCCCTGCCCGGCGCCTGCGCTTCCGTGCCGGTCGCCACCCGCGCCACCGCGTTGGGTCCGAATGAACCTCAGGTCCTGACCTCTGGGGCTCCCTCCGCACCGGTATTGGGAGTTTGGGCAGCAAGATCTTATCGGCGGCGTGATGAAAGCAGGCGTCCTTGCCAAACATTTCTGGCAACTTCTCCTCACCCCCGGCTCCCTCGGGGGGTAAACAACTCCCGGGCGCTGG